ACCTCCACTACGTTTTGCAGTGTGGACCAACGTAGTGGGGATACATTTTCCCATGAGACTGGGTTGTTGATAGCTGCTTCCTGTGTTTAACTCTAATTGAGATCCTCCCTACAAACATTTGATAAGAAAAGAGGAACCTGCACTCCAGAGCCCAAAGCCGGCATAAAGCGGTTCAGTGAAGGTGGTGTTGAAGGTGTGGAGGTGGACCTTTGTGTCACCAGAGACACAGTAGAAGGAGACAGTCCCAGCAGCACAGTTCACATAGACTCCTATTTTGCAGGACACACAGAAGGAAGAAGTCCGGACAACCTTTTTTTTTCTGTCATGCCAGAAAACATAATCTCTGTCGTTAGTGCTAAAAATACTCCAGGATTGATTATTCCAGCCAAACCAAGAATCAGCATTGATTCCTTTTCTTTTGATCCCTCTGTAGCTCACAGCCACATACACTCCTCCCCTCCAGGTAACCTCCCAGTAGCAACGTCCAGCCAGAGGCTTCTCACACAGAACCTGGCAGCATTCAAACCGCTCTGGATGATCCGGGAATGGCTGCTTTTCTCTTAACCCATACACCCTCCTCGGCTCGACTGGGTTCATTCTTCTGTTTATGGTGTTCAAGTCCAGAGTGAGTTTACAGAGATCTGAAGAAGAGAACAGGAAACAGAAAATCAGCAGCTTCCCTTATTAAACTCCTGAATGTATCAACCAGGAGAAAATATTGAGACATCTTATGAATTCTGCTGACAAATTTTAAGTTAATTTTAGCAATAATGAGAAATGGGGTTTCTGTCATATGGGACCTTAAGCAGTGTTTTGCAACTGAACGTTAATATTAATCTAATCAGAAAGAAACTGAACACCGTTAATGGAAGGTCATATTGTATTAGAGCCAAACTTCTGGGGGTTTTGTTATTTTGTGCTTGGTTTAATACCTTAAAGTCAGAGTGGGTGGTGTTATATGTTTAATAGGAGTCACGGGTAACTTCTCAGCAGGTGTGCTGAGAAGAAAGCTGCCTCAGTAAATCCGTTCCCCATCTCAGCCCCCCCACCCCAATGTATGCGATGTATTGAGATGAGCGGTTTGTACTGAAACTTAAATCTGGATTGCAATGTAAATTGTAGTTGACAATAAAGTTTGTTAGATTGTGTTTATGTGATGCGTGACTATATTAGCTCGAAAAT